GGGGGAGCGGCACCCGCAGGGGCTGGCGCGGTGGTGCGGCTGGGGGCGGCTGATAACCCCGGTCCTGGCAAAAAAAACGTCGTTTCCCGGCCACTTCTGGCTGCCCGCGCTTTATGCGAGACAGGGCCGCGTTTATCCCGTTGGGGACGGTGCCCGTTGGGAGCTCTTCGTGGCGCCGTTATACCCTAACGGCAGGTGATTCCCCCGGCGTCTGCGGCCCCGTCGTTGCCATTAGCACATCCATGCTCCTGAAGAACCGTCCCGGCCCCTGGTAGAGCTGACACATCCCGGGAGCTGTGGCGGCGGGGGTGGCCTCTGCCTGCCCTGGCCTCACTGCCCCGTCTTGGCTGGGAAAGAGGAGACAATTGTTTACACACCAGATGCAAAGTACTGCATCACCCGAGCTCGATTCTGGCCCCTAAAGACTATGTCCAAACAAAAGCCTTTTATGTCCTGTGCTCTTTGTTCTGCTAAGAACTGTAATGGTTGTCAGAACTGGATTCCCGTGTGCCCTTAATTACAGGCCATCTGAAAATCATCAAAAGGTAATCATTTTGTTTACCCTTTGGTTTTGAAGTTGGGCCATGGCTAAAAATTTAGGGTCTATTTGAAAACGTATGACCCTTCTTCCTGTTTCTTGCCTTTAGAGATATTTATGCTTTAACCGTTCTATATTGACCAGGTGCAAATGATGCAAAAATATTGAAAATTACATTTTTTCAGGTATTTTTTAGAATCTTTCTTTTTTTTGTTGTTGTTGTTTAGCATTCCCAGCTCCCTGCTAACATGAAAAAGTGCAGTTTCTACACAGGCCAGAAGAACTGCTGTCTTTCTGCCTAAAAGAAGTTTCAGTTATAACTGAGTATAGGTTGGTCTTTGCGAAGTATTTTAAACACAGAAGTAACATTTGGGGAAAAAAGTGTTTCAGCAAGGAATCACTAGTGTAATTCACTTATTTTTAAATATGATTCCCATTTTTCTTCATGACTTAGTGAAGCAAGGGATGTCATACATACTCCCTTATGTATTGACCAAAGACACATACAAAGTTAACTGACAGCAGAGGAGGACTTAGCAGAGTCAAAAAAAAAAAAAAAGGAAAATGCTATTCACCAACATCAAATTGTAGCTGAGACTTACGTTTCAAGTATTGTATTCTGCACACTTTGAAGAGGAAATTGTGGCCATATCTATATTTAATTACTGATATGTGATAATACTAATGGAATGTGGATCTTACCTAGTTCCAAAACCCCCCTCAGGTTTGATTAATAGGTTTGACTTGTCCATGCTTTCTACTTAGAGAGATGTAAACATGTAGCAGTTTTTTTCACTAGCAGATTTATTGATTTTTTTTTAAATAAGCATCAAGTGTAAGTGCAAACTGAGGTTCAAGATGCACTGCGTAATATAGAATATAATTATAAATATATTCAATATAAACCCACATTTTTATTATAAGTAAAACATGCTATGATAATAAGCTATGCTAAATTATCCTATAAGTATGCTCAATATTGCATGTATGTTTTGAAAAAACCACATATTTTAATGACATACAGAAATGACAGACTACAGAGCCCAGTAAAAGCAGTAATTTCATCTTCCAGAATTCGCAGTTACTATTTTTGCCAGAATAAGAAGTAAAGCATGGCATTTTAATTCCTTTTTTTTTTTTTCTGAAAATGAAAATTACAGTTCTTGAACTTTTTTATCTGAGAAAATAATTTCCAAAGGAACTTGATGAATTTGAGAAATTTAGCTTTAGGATAAAATCCACTCAGTTTGAGTTCTTCTAACTGATTATTTTCTTTATCTTAATGGATTCATGTGTTTGTGAGAGGATACGCAATTAAAGACCACTGCTTGCAGAGAGGGAATCTTCCACTTTTGGAATGCCTCCAGGAATCAGTGCAATTTCACTGCTTCCTACTGGTACCATGCTGGGTTGTTTTTTTTTCATGCTGTTTTTTTCCAATCACTTCTAAAGAGCCCAAAGCTTTAAAGTCTCTGTGTCATCCTTCCTTCTTAGAATACTGTCTCAACATGTATTATTGATAAATGCCACTTTTGTGGATTAAATGTCTCAGAATGTCACATGCATCTTTTTAGATTATCTAAAAATGATTGACTGAATATTAATTTTCTCTGAAGTTCAGTTATTTATGAAAAAGCTGTGAGTTGCATTGAAATTTCCAGACAGGAACCTGGAATTCTGTTACTGTCTGTTTTCAATCTTAGACAGTCAATGGCAGTCAAAACAATAATACAATCTAAAAGTACAGAACTTCGTACTTGGTATTTATAATTTAATTACATTTCAATCCACTCTTGTCTTTTTAGTCAGCAATTAGAAGTGTCACCAAATCCTATAGATACCTGTTCCATTCATATTCATCTTGCTGAATATTACATTAGGTGCTGTTAAATTAGATGTATAGCAGGGAGTGGTGTCCTTAAAATTGTTAACAAATTACTAATTTCTCCCCCTTTGAATAGATAGGGAGTGAAAATAGCAAATCGTCTTGATGGGTATATAGTAGACTTAATAATATAATACTTATTTTTAATATTAGATTTTAAAATGCTGACCTTGACCTTTTCAAAACTTACGTTAACTGCATAGTTAAATTCTGTATGAAAAAAAAAATCTAAAACTTCTGTAGAGAAAAGTATACAATTTCTTTATCTTCGTTGGTCTTAATTCTTTTTTCCTCGGTACACAAAATATGCTGTAAAATACCAGCATTTAAGATTTCTCTTTTTTAAAATCCTGCTATCTAGTAAGACATACTATCCAAGGTGGGAGAAGGTTAAGTGAGAAAGGTAACATTCTCTTGAAGAACAATTTATTTCTCATAAGATATCTGCTAAGAACTTTTTATTATTGGTGAGAGAGTGCTGTAGTGAGAGTGCTGTAGCACAGCTATATGGTGCTTTCAGGTAAAGCAGATAGATTGTTTTACAATTGTTTGTAAAGTACCCAATAAAGGTTGAGTTTAGACTGGTTTTGCCAGCTGCATTGGTAGAGGAGAGAACATCTACACAGAGAATGTTACTTGTACTGTCTGACTGTGTTCATGCCACACATCAGACTGGTGTCCCTTGTGCTGGGAACAGCCTCAGGCTTCAGTCCCAATTACAAAGGTTTGGTCATGTTTATTGTCAGGCAGGCATGGCCCTTTTCATAGAATCATAGAATCGTCAAGGTTGGAAAGGACCCTTAAGATCATCAAGTCCAACCGTTAACCTAGCACTGCCAAGTCCATCTATACCATGTCTTCAAGCACCACATCTATCCATTCTTTAAATACCTCCAGGGATGGAGACTC